AAACAAAGGAACGCATCCCCCTCACCTGCCACCCAAGTTCCTAATGAAGCCCTGAGACAAGCTCTAGGGATCTCTCCTCTTTACCTCTTGGAGCCCTGGCAGGATTTTCAAAGGGGTGGTCTCAGGAGAATTGGGGCAGAGAGATTTGTTCTTCTTAGGGGAAACGAATACCCAGAGCTCCAGAAATCTAGAGTTTAAATGAGAGACTGGATTATTTTTTTTCCCACTGGGCTGCTTCCCAAGACAAAGGAGCTGATGCACCCACAGCTCCCCTCGCAAATGTCTCTTGAAGACAGGTGTTTTCACTCGCTTCCTCTGAATAGACTCAGCCCCTTCGATGCCTGTCCCAGATCACTGTCTGGCAAGTGACTCCTTCCTATTGCCAAGGGCAGAGGCAGAATGGCTGTGGGCAGAACTACAGGAAAATGGAATGCCATGTGTATTTTCCAAAATCTTCCTATTTTCTCTCTATGGTTTTCAGTGTTTGTTTGGTTGTACTGATGCCCACGTCCACTAATGTTATATTTCTTCGTGCTCATCTTGCTGTGGTGATGGATTCAAAGGCATGACATTTAGCAGAGACATGATACTAATCTTCAGATATTTCAAATGCTATCAGGTTGAAAGGAAAATGGAAGGTGGGATAATGTGGAGGGGGAGGCAAGTCGCAGGGAGACAGATACTGAGTCAATAGAAAGTAACATTTTCTAAGAATTAAGTCCATTCAGAAGTAGAATTGATGGTAGTATATCCGTGTGGGTCTTGTAATGGGATAGTATGCATCACTGGAAATGAAGAGAGAGATCTCCAGTACCATTATGGAAAGTATTCAGGATGTAATATGAAATGAAAAAAGCTAGCTGTGAATTGGTATGTGCAGTCTAATTCCATTTGTATAAAATCGAAAGGCTATGGAAATAGGCATAATTGTACATAGAAAATTTCTAGACAGAAAAAACAAAACAAAACAAAAAGCCCATGAATCATGGTTCCCTCCAGATCAGAAAATGCAGTAGGGATGGAGAAAACTAACCTATTCATACCTGTACACACGGATTTTTTTTCCTCCTTAAGCGTTTTTACAATATAAAAAGCCAAGTTTTTATTTTTAAGTAAACTTGGTATCTTAAAAAAAAAAAAAAGGTGGGGGGATGCTAACTTGTAAGATAATGAATTTCCAATCCTTGGGAGCACTGAAGCAGAATCTGGGGAACTATTTGTGAGGAATGCTGTGCTTTTAAAATTACCTCTTAACTCTGAGGTCCTACGATTCAGTTCTATTTAAAGGTGTTAAAACTACCAAGCACATGAGTATTTCCAGCTTGCTTCCAGTTGGAGAGACGTGAATAATGAAATGGATAAGATGAACCCCTGGCCCAGGATTGGTTGTCAGGGCTGAGCAGAAAATGATTTCTCTAGATGGAAATATTTTTACGTGTTTTTTTTTAGGGGGGAGAGATATTTTTGGCTGAAGATCCAGAATCTAAGAAAACCGTATGCATGTTGCTTTTCTTGGTGGCAGGGGCCCCACGGAGGGAGGCTTGCCATTTCACCTCGGCCATCCTGGAGGGCCATCACTCACTGGAGCTCTGCCAATTCATCAGCCCTTCTTCTCCTGCGGGGTTGCTGAGCGAGGTGATGTGATCACAAATTCAGTCTTTTCTCATCTATAGCCTAGTTTATTTGTCTCATTCCTCTTAGTAGAAGTAGGATTGGTTATCCAGTTACGTAAGATTTGGGTTTTTACCTTGCTGGGCAGTGCATCGCGGATCTCCGGTGAACAGGAGCCATAAGGACTAGGCTAGGCCCTCAGCTCTGGGGAAAATGAACACCTATTTGTGCTTTACCTTTTTCTCTATAGTTTGAAAATATTTGATCTCTTTCGGTCTCTCAGAATCTTTAGGAAGAACATTCCAAAGTCTGCCCTTATTCAAAGGCTTGCATCCCAGTGTAGTGATAGTCAAAACTGATCTGGTCTTTATGTAAAATTTTAGTATTTGGTTCGTCATAGAATTCTGCAGCAACTTTTAAAAATAGTGCAGCAAGCTCTCCTTCATCTTGACTGCTTCCTTGATGCTGCCGTAAGTTTTGCACACAAGGTGAGAGCCTCACCTGCCCCGCCCCCAGCACTGTTCAGAAAGTTTTTCTTTTTAGCAACTACAATCTGTCTTTAAAAGCTGAAGCTGATTCTCTCTGGATCTGGCCCTTGGGTGCTCAAGTTCCTACCAAATGCCTGTTCAGAGACTTCAAGCGGCTCATGATACCATCGCCTTCCTTTCTCCAAGGGAAACTACTCCACCCCTTCTACCTTTTCTCCTAAATCGTCTCTGCAACCTCATTATAAAGTTCCATGTACCAACTTTGTGTGCTTAGAAGAGAAGCATTAGGCAGAAAGTCTGGATTATATGGAGAACATGAAATAATTTCAAATTCTCCATTTGCTACCCAGAAAAAATATAGTTTTAGCGTTTTGGTACATTTGTTTCCAGCTTTTTTTAAGGCATGTGTGCCATTGAATGTGTTCCTTCCTTTGTTCAGTCCTTCTTTTTTCCTTTTTTATAAATTTTTACAAAATTATGGTCTATGTAGCTATCATTTTGCCATGTTCACACCTTTTAGGTGTGTAATGGCTACATAGTTCCCAGTCAGATGAAAATATAATAATTTATTTAATCATTCCTTTATCCACTTACATAATTTTTGGTCTTTATTATTATAAATAATATTATGAAAACTTTCTGTACATACATCCTGATACATATTCCTGATTATTTCCTTAAAGTAAATAATTGAAGTGGAAATATGAAGCCAAAGAGAATGGACATACATGGTCACTAATATGCCAATGTTTCATCTACTTATCTAGCTAAACATCCCCAAACTTTTCCCATTTACCCAATGTTTTCCGATTTTTCCTCAATGTAATCTCATTCCCAGAGTGAGGAAAATGTATTAATTCTTTTCAACCAAGGTCAAAAATTAAAGTATCGTTTTTCTTATCTGTTTTGTGGCCATGATGCTTCCCAGGCAGTTGTGGTTTAGGACAGATCACACTGGCCTTAGAATTAGAAGATCGGATCTGTGACCTTTTAATTGTGGGCAGATCACCTGACCCTAGGTGTCTGAGGTCCCCCATCTGCAAGGTGGAGATAAGAATGAACTGATATGTGGGCCTGTTACGCTGTTAAATCGTACACGAAAAAAACCTCTTTATAAACTGAAAAATGCCATAAGGAACAATTTATTATTGTTGCTACTGTTCTTATTATCATTATTATGAAACCCCTTTTGTAAAGGAGAGCCCCAGGTAGGAAACAGAGGGAGACATGTGTGAGCTGATGTCCCCAAAGATCCCCAGTTTATAATTCTGAAGAAATTAGAAAAGAGAGTTCCACATCTAGTGGTGAGCCAGACGACCTGTGAAAATGCGTATCTAGGCCCCAGCTGGGAAGCACCCAGGGACGCAGCCGGCGGGGGAACCCAGTCCCAGAGGGGCACTTGGCACTGAATCCCAGTGCAGTGGGGCTGGGAGTGAGAGGGTGTCCGTAGCCCTGGGGACGCTTTCTGAGCAGGAGGAGACTTGAGGTGAGCAGGGGAGAGAGGACCGGGCCGTGTTCAAAACGTCGAGGGCAGGGGAAGGGGAGCAGTCAGGTCTGAGGCTGTCGAGTGATCTATGAAAGGGGCTCATGAAATACGCAGACAAGTGCAGCAGGAAGACAGCGGACGCTTCTATGTTGTTGGAACGTTGTCTTGTTCGGCGACTTCAAAGGGTAGCTTTTTAAGAAGATGATCAAAATTGTGGCTCAAACTAAGTGGGAGAGGTTGGCAAACTTCTGTTAGGTAAACAAAAGTCTGAAACTGAAATCCATGAGAAGCTTCTCTTCAGATTTAAGGATGCATTTTTCTCTTTCTTTAGCCTCAGAGCTCTCCAGTCAGTATGTTCTAATTCACCAGGAGATCTTTTCCAAACCGGCCCCAGGCATCTTCTAGCTTATCCTGTCCCCATTCATTCTTCTATACCTTTATACATGACTCTCCATAGATGAAATTGTTTCCTGTTCGTGTTCGTGTTTTTCCTTTCTCTCTCTCTCTCTCTCTCTCTCTCTCTCTCTCTCTCTCTCTCTCTCTCTCTCTCTCTCTCTTTTCTTTTTTTGTCTGTGTAATTATTTATTCATCTTCAGTACATGCCAATGTTCAGTGCCTCCCTGCCTGGAAATTATTCTGATAACCCCTCAGGGAGCTGGTTCGCATCTTTGTGTTCTTTTATCTTCTAAAATCTTTGGCAAGTGGTGGGGTATTTTCTGAGACCTCAACCATTTAGTAACTAGTCTGTGAAAGAAATCTGTTTGATTTTAAAACCAATTGTAAGCTTTAACCCTGAGGACCTTTTTAAAATTATCCAAGTCTCTGTTTCTTTGTCTTTGAAGTAGAGATAATATTTACCGTGTAGTGTTCTTGGAAGGAGTCTGTAAAATAGTGAAAGCAAGGCACCTGCCACATAGTAATTGCTCAAGAAATGCTTCACTTGGCACTTTGCCTCCTTCTTTCATTTTCAGTGATGCTTGAATGACCACATGATGGAAGATCACAGTTTTTCTGATTATATTCCATTATATAATAGAAGATTAAAATATTTTTTCTGCAGAAGCTCTGCAGGTATTGTCATTGTCTCTTGGTATTTACAGTTATAGAAACGACTGCAGAAGTCATCTACATTTTGTTCCTTTTTGGTAACTTCTTTTGTTCCTTCGATGAGTCTTCATTTCTCTTTTACAGCTGAACATTTTTCTAGACGAGGTTTTGATGCTTCTTTAGTCCTTGTCCAAACACAGCAGTTTGGAACGAGGATCCAGCTACCTCAGGGGATTTTGCTCTTCTTCAGGAGTGAAATGGGGCCAGTTAGAGCTTTTATCAAAACCATCATCCCTAAGCCACCAGTGCATTTGAGTAATTGTACTAGGGCCAGACACCTGACTGGGTTTTTCTGTCTTGGCCTGCAGGGGAACTGTAGCCCTCCTTAACCTGGCATCCGCACCAGGTCCTTGCTGTTGTCTCTCCTGGAGTTCTCCTGCTCACGGCATTGGCACTGACGTATTCTGACTGATTGGCCTATTTCTCCATCTTTTAGACCTGGAATGTATCAATGGAGAGAGAGAACCACACAGTGGTGAGTGAATTTGTTTTCCAGGGTTTTTCCAGCTTTCACGAACACAAGCTCACCCTCTTTGTGGCATTTCTTGCCTTGTACCTCGTAACTCTGGCCGGCAATGTCATCATTGTGACAATCGTCAGCACTGACCGTCACCTCCACACCCCCATGTACTTCTTCCTGAGCTTGCTGTCCGCCTCAGAGACCATGTACACGTTGGTCATTGTGCCAAGGATGCTGTCCAGCCTCATAGGCCCAAGCCAACCCATCTCCTTGGCTGGCTGTGCTGCCCAGATGTTCTTTTTTATCACTCTGGCCATCAACAACTGCTTTCTGCTCACAGCAATGGGGTACGACCGCTACGTGGCCATCTGCAACCCCTTGAGGTACACAGTCATCATGAACAAGAGGGTGTGTGCCCAGCTGGCATGGGGGGCCTGCAGCATTGGGCTGCTTGTGGCCATAATTCAGATTTCCTCTGTGTTCAGGCTGCCCTTTTGTGACAGAGAGGTGGCCCATTATTTCTGTGACATCCGCCCAGTTATGAAACTCTCCTGTGCTGACACCACTTTACATGACATAATTAATTTTGTCATCAGCTCACTCGTTATTGTGGTGCCCATGGGCCTGGTCTTCACCTCCTACGTCCTCATCATCTCCACCATCCTCAGGATCACCTCGGCTGAGGGCCGGAAGAAGGCCTTTGCCACCTGCGCCTCCCACCTCACGGTGGTCATCGTCCACTACGGCTGCGCCTCCATTGCCTACCTCAAGCCCAGGTCAGAGAACTCCCGGGATCAGGACCAGCTGATCTCGGTGACCTACACCATCATCACCCCCCTGCTGAACCCCGCGGTGTACACCCTGAGGAACAAAGAGGTCAGGGATGCCCTTCGCCGTGCTATCGGCAAGAAACCTCTGACCTAGGATCTTTGCAATTTGACACATACATAGCCTATCATCCTCGGGGTAATGTTGTAACCTCAAAAAAATGTTGATCCTATCATTCATCCTCTACCTAGAAAGAGTTGCAAAATTTGGTGGTAGGGCCAAGGGCTCCTCTGACTTGAATTTCATATTTCCCATCATTCTCCTATACCTTCTAATCTCACAGGCTCCCCAGGGGAATGCTCAGATGCCACTTCTAAGGTGGAAAGCTGGTAGGGAACAATCTTATCAGTTGACAGCAGAAAAGTGGGCCGAATGACACCGATTTAAAGCGATGGGTTGAAAGATCAGCCTAAATGTCAGGTAGATACTGAGCTCTACCCCTTCAAAGAAGGCATAGCTGATGTACAGGCTGTGTTGGAAACACAGTCACAATTACCTTCCGCACTTACCAGTGCTTTCTCCTCTGGGCGGTGACGAGGGTGACAGAGCCTGACATGCCACAAGGAACATTATCAGCTTTTAATGTTCTCATCTGCCTTGGGAACCTTTTTTTCCCAATTTTGTTGAAGCTCATGTTAGAACTGTTTCCCGAGTGAGTCTCGTGTGTCACGTGTTGGTAAGTAACTTGTCACACCAGCAACTGAACTCTCTGCTGTTCATGTGTGCTTCCTGCGGGCTGATGCTTAGGCTGTTCTGCGTTCACAGTGCAGGGATATCTGAAGACCTTTTATGAAATTAAGTTTGTTAATCCCACCTCCCAGCTAAGTCTGGCCGTCTCAGATCTGGAAATTCGCCCAAGATTTTCATTCTTGCTGTAGAGCCTGAGCTGGTACCCTTCTGCGTTCACCCTCTTCATTTCTGTAGCGATGAACTCATGTTCTGTGAGCAGGGGGTGCCTAGGGTAAGCTCTCAGTTTAAACACTTGTCTGAGGAAGTCTTGGAGCCTCCTAATTCCTACTGTTGCCCGCTACAGGGGAAAATGGTATTGATTTGTGAGAAAGGTTTTCGGCTTTAGGATTGCGTGGCCTGGAGTAAAACAGGCAGAACTTGCCAAATGTCTTCCAGTCCATCAAAGGCTGATGGTCAAAAAAAGCAAATCCACATCTCCCACCCATCATCCTCCCGCTTCGGGACAGTCCCAGTGTCCCCACTGAAGATGCATTGAAAGGGCGTGTCAAACAAAGGACGTGGGAGTCCCTCACGGTAAAAGGGAGCCATGTTTACGGAGCATCACCTGAACAAATAAAAGCTTTCCCTCCTCCCAGCAGCCCACCTCCAAGAAAGTAACCCAAGAAAGAAAGAGGGGCCTCCAGGGCAGTTAATCTTTGCCTTTATCTGGGTCACCTCGGAATCCTTTCTGGGCCAGGGTCAATGGAAACAGTCTCACAACGCTGCTTCTGAGAAAGCCCCATTTGAGATTCTCTATTTGGGGGCCCTGCTCACTGTAGTCGCCCATTCCTGAAAAGTCTCCCAGCAGCCACGTTGTTTTTCAGATTGCAGAGTTTTTCCACCCCAGGACCTGCTGCAGCTCTACTGGGTTCTATAAGATTGGCGCCCATACCGAAAGCAATGTGCTCCCCTGAGTTCCTATAGTTCAACACTGCAGAAAATTATGGTGCCATCCACCCACAGTAACATCTGCAAAAATAAAGATTGTCTATTAAAGGCCTACATACCCTTTGTCTTTTTAAATATAGTTTACGCCACCTTAACAGACAGAAAAAAAGTTGAAGCCAGCGCATTTAATTTCAAAGTGAGTGTGTGAGTGATTATCACCAACACAAATCGTGTCCAGAGAAGGGACGCTTCAGCCCACACCTTGGGCTAGTGACCACATAGCTGTTATCTTTATAAGGCAGGGCCTGCCAGTTCAGGAGGCTGTTACTGTAACATGAGAGGCACATCCCTTTTGGGGAGAGCACGTGATCTGCAGCCATGTGTCCCCTATCTCACCAGCAAAGGGTTGTTTTGTGTCCTAATGTCTCCCAACAGAATCCCGCTCTTGTCCCAGGACAGTCTTGCCTCTGACCCCGCACTACCCCTTTCTCACACCCTTCCTCTGCAGGAGCTTCCCACCCTCCCGGGTTCTGCAATCCCGGAGGCAGGCACCCAGCTGGCCCAGGCATGGATTGGGGCCTAGGAAGGCAGGGGCCCTTGACAGTGAGCACGCACGCCCAGTGTACAGCGGGTGCTGTCCTCCGAGGTCCTTGGACTTGGAGATGCAGGAGAGGAGGTGGGAGCAGGGTGGGGTCTGGGAGGCGCTCAGGCGCAGGGCACTGTTCTTCAGCGGCTTGTTCACCCTGAGGATCAGGGACAGAGGCTGTGGCTGAGTCTTCAGGAAAGATAAACACCTTCTCTCTCAAAGGGACAGAGAAAAGACCACGTGACAACTGAGTTCTGTCAGATCTCTTGTGTGCTTCCCTCTCACTGTGGATGGAAGGAGGCCCTGTCAGGGTACATACAGTCCACTGGAGTCTGCAGGGTGCCTGTGCGTGCATTACCTCAGGGACTACCGAAGCAAAATACTTGTGTTAGAAGGCAGGTTCTGGTGGAGCTGTCCTGTTAGAAAGAGGAATTAAAGACATTCTATATCCATCTGCACTGCCATCTCCTTTGCACATTTCCTCTGTACAGAACAAGCACCAGTCACAGAAAATGAAACACAGCTGACTCTTAAATGCAGTGCATGCAGTATGCAGCACCCCATGGTCTCCTACCACCAGTCGTGTTCTGAGATGTCATATCCCCCCCGGGACACCCGGACTAAGGTTAGATGCAATGGTTCTTCGTGACCTATGGCTTTGGCTCTTCGGGACCAATGCTCATAGTCCAAAGTCTGAGAACCAGAATCGTATGCAAACCACAGGGTCCTTTATGTTGTCCTCTCCCCGCTCCCACTCCCTCGTCACAGCTCTTGGATGCCAGTTCAGCACCAATTTCCCACCCCTTGTTACCCTCGGCTGCAGCATCAGGATCCCAGAAGTACTTATCTGACTTACTTCCTCTTAAGACCCCTGAGAGAAAGGGCTTAGTCACTGTAGAGTCAACTGTTTTTCTTGCTTAGGGAAGCAAATCTAACAAATACTATGGTCTGGAAATAAATTAAATAATGACTGACTTAATCAAGGGAGACATAGCCTGGAAACACTATGAAGTCCTGAGTTGAGTTAGCTGTGCTTTATAGTAAGAAATTGAAAAACATTCCCTTAGATTCAGGGGTTTTTTAGGAAGTGCTCACCCTGGACAAAGAATAGGAACAGAGCATTTAGGGAGAGGGAGCTCTGCAGAGATCACAGACTTCTGTGTTGAGAGAGACGTCAGCCAGTACAATAGGAATTAGGAGGATGGTAAAGTAAACCATGAATTTATCTCCCTTCGTGTGATTTGTGACCTTGTCAGTATTCAAAGCTACGGCGGAACAGCCTGCTTAGCCAGACAGTGGTGTTTGAATAGCTTACTGATGCCAGTGATATGATAGAGAAGTGAGCATCTCAAACTTGAGAAGATGAAGTTGGGTTTAGTGACAGTAACAGAAAAAAAAAGATATAGGATGCAGAACATTTTTTGCTGATGAAAAAAGCTTTCTATAACGTTTATGCATTACAAGGTATATTTGATCTCTAATTGATCTTACCCAATCTTTATAATAACTCTTTATAAGATTAATGTGATTTTTATCCCCATCTCATAGATTAAGAAACTGAGGCTCAGACTTCAGCAACTTCATAAAAGGAATTCAGTTCATTTGGGAGAAACTGGTTTTCTGATTAAAGTCCAAGATCCTTCTAAGATTCCATATTCACTTCCATGTGACCCAGACTAAAGGATGGGGATGGATCAGAGTGTGAACACCTGAATCCCTGTAACAACTTTTCTTTTTCTAATAAAAACTGCATGTCCCTCCTTCCTCCCTTAGATGAGAGGAAATGGTGTTCCCCCGTATAAGCAAAACCAGCTCTCCTTTCTCTAGTCCAGGGGCTTCCTTATGGCAGGCATATCCTTACTCCCAAGCATGTGTGGTGGCCTTAAAAATAATTGTTCAAAAATAAGTCTCCTCCAAGTGCTGGGCATAGAAGCCACAGGGCATAAATCTGCAAAGAAGTAAAAAACTAACCTTTTCAAACAATATGGCTTCTCTCTCACTTACCAACTTTACATTTCCCTGTATGGCCCCGGAAGATGACTGGTTAGCCAGAGACGGGTAAGATTCCTCAAGGGAGGAACAATCTAAGACAGGCACAGTCGCAGGGGGGCCATCAGGTGAGAATTTGGGGATCAACAGAGGTGAGGCTCAGAACCTCACCCCCCCTGCTTTGAGAGAAATCTTCTGCATCCGTGGATGTCTTGCTGCCCTTGTCTAGCCTGGATTAATACTTAGTCCATAGGCACACACCTGATCATCTGATCATCTACATTTGCCCTCTTACAGCACTAAACTATGTTTTCTACCTTTATCTTGCATCTACCTACCACTTCAGCATTTTATTAAAAATAAAAATAATAATAATAATAAAGGGAGAAATGTGGGATCCACATATAAATCAAGTATAAAAATCAAACGAATATTCATATTTGACCTGATTGTTTATAGTTCATAATGCGTGATCAAAACCGAAAGTTTCTGTGATGACTGCCCTTGTACTGTTCACCATGTAAGAACTTATTCACTATGTAAGAATTTGTTCACCATGTAAGAACTTGTTTGTTATGTTTCAGAAGATTGGAGACTGTTGAGAATTAGGTTTGGAGTGGATTAATGATTGTGCATTGAGTCCCCTATACAGAATTTTATTGTTGTTAACAACCATTTGATCAATAAATATGAGAGATGCCCTCTCAAAAAAAAAAATAGCATACAGATGCTGTACAAACAAATTCAGATAAGCCAAAAATAAAACTAATTATAAGATAAAAAATTGTATTCCCTCACCCAAAGAAAAAAAAAATAAGTCTCCTCCCCTTGATTGTGGGTTAACTCACTTCTGATGAATAGACTGAGCCAGACCACATGACCATCTATGAAAAGACTGTGGCCTTTGTGTAGAACCCTTTCTATATTGGCTCGCTCGCTGTTGGAGAAGCCAGCTGCCATGTGTGGGCTGCTCTGTAGGAAGGCCCACGTGGCAGGGAACTAAGGGAAGCCTCTGGCCGGTAGCCAGTGAGGAACTGGGGCTCCCAACCCAACAGCCTGTAAAGAATGAAATCCAGACAGTAGCCATGGGAGTGAGCTTGGAAGCAGGTCCTCCCCTCGTTGAGCCTTCGAAAGAGATGACAGTTCTGGTTGATTGTAACCTCAAGAGAGACCTCTACTCTCTCTGCTTCCTGAGCCACAGAGAGTCTGAGAGAGAAGGTGTTCATTATCTTAAGCCACGAGGTTTTGAGGTGGTATGTCCTGCAGCAATAGACCACATACACCGTCTTCCGCCACATCTCCCTCAAAACAGCCCCAGCAGCAATGACAGCAGAAGATGCCGTACCCCAGAGCCTGTGGGACGTGGGAAACTTCTTCCCAAGGAGGCTCGGCACCTGCCCAACTGTGTCACACCTCCTGAGAGCGTGGGAGGAGCAGGGCACACAGGTGGGCCCCCCACATCACACTCTCCGTGGGGCTTCAGGAGTAGTGGGAGGATTGGCAGCAGGCGAGACAACAGAGAGATGCTCACTGTTGGGCTGCTGCTTTGAGCTTCCAGGGACACAGGCTTTGTTTCTGCAGCAGAAGGCAGATTTTAAGTGGTAAAATCACATTAACTGAAAGAGGGTGATGGTTGGGAAACAAATTTGGTGCTTTTTGCTCTGTTGTTTCAGGTGTAGGGTCTTTCTCCGCCAACTGCTCGATTTGCTGCTGTTCCGGTCCTACCCAGGGAAAGAGGCTCTGTGTGCTCCCAAAGAGGGACCTTTTGTTTCCTAATGTGTGTGAGGGAATTGTGGCTGTCGATTGTTCTTTCTATAAGATGAGCCTGCTGGGGGGCTGCTGGAGGAGCCATTTCTCCTCATGCGGAGGGGCTGGGGTATCACCAGGGCATGAACGCTAGCATTGATTCAGGTGGACTTCAGAACCCATGCGATGGAGACCGTGGCTGTGGCAGTGTGGAGATCTAGCTCTCGTGGTCTTGAAGAAGTGGCTGGTTTGCCCATAGAGGAGCTCCTGGATGTTGGGTGTCCAGATGAAGCCCTTCATCTGGAATCAGGACATCAGCTAGGAAATGAGGAACTCAGAGAAGTTGTTCGAGAAGAATTGATGGAGCCCATCTTGAGAGGGCAGGGAACAGTGCTTTGATACTGGGAACATGTTAGTTATGTTATGACCTGAATCGCTGATGTACAAACCTGACTGTCAACATTTTATCCTGGTGTTTGTTTCTCTGTCTCCCATAAAAACTCTTTGTTAGGTAGCTGTGTCGGTTGCCCCTTTTTGATTCATCACACATTATAGGAGTTTAAAATCCAAGAACATGTGGGTCATGTGTATTTTCTTCCACAGCATGATCTTCAGCACCTATCATTTTGAGTAGTTGGAAATAAGAGCCCTAAAACTGCTTAAGGAATTAACTAATCTGTTTCCAGGTTGATGAGAAGAATTAGAGGAAGTTGTCCGAGTTAAGGCTCCCAGTTGCGAATAACAAAAGCTACCCTAGTTAGTTGTGGCATTTCACTTCCACTTAACCATGCTGTGTAATGGGCCACCTCAAAACTCAGTTTTTAAAACAATGAACATTTATTTGGGTCAGGAGTCTGTAGGTTGGTGCTTTAGACTTATTATTCTTTTGGGTGATTGAGAGCAAGCCAACTAGTTTGGGGATAATAATATATGAGTCAGAAATGGAGTTATGAGAATTAATGCATTTTAAGATCCTGTCTTGTTTGTATAATTTTAGATTGGTCAAAATCAATCTTGATTCCTTTCTCTATTTCAATTGTAAAACTCCATACATAGTAACATATGATATCAAAGATTCCCTAAGGAATTTCAAAAATCATTTTTCATGGTATTTTTGGCATAACATAAAATAAATAAGTTATTGTCCATAAAATGTTACTTCAGATCAATTATTACAACTAAAGGTTGCATTAAATTAATTTTATTAGTCTTTAATGATACCCACAATACATATCTAAAAAGATGTATTTGACCTATCCATGTTTAATTAGTGTTCCACATTATTAAATTTAAAATAATTATGAAAGAAAGAACATAATTTATGGACAGATACAAAATGACATTTTATATACCATATTTCATCGATATGTATTAAAATGATAATTGAAATTTAAATATTTTTTGCTGTGTTAGAAACATACAAACATTTCTGATGATTTGATTTGCATTTTTCTGACATTTAAGGCATAACAAAATACATGCAATTTTTTTCTAAATAATATTCATGCTTGGGTTCCAAGTACTTACTTTCCAAGGTTTTAATTAAGTGCTAAAGACATCTTGATATTCTGTAGGATGTCTATTAGATCAGGGTCTCTTTGACAATCAAGATGGATAAATTTCAAAAATAGAATGCAAATGTAGAATTCAATAGTGCCATATATTTATAACTACAGACATATGTACTAACATATAAACATACAAAGGAATAATACACACACACTCAAGAGTGGTTACCTCTGAGGAGGAAGGAAGGAAGGAAAGATGAAGGTCAGGAGTGAGTTTCTGTTTATATCCATAAATATGATTACTTTAAAAAGAGAAAGGAAGCAATTATGACAACTATGACATAGAAAATACATGGAATTTGATATATAATTTTAAAACTTTACTTTTCTTGTAAATTTAAATTTTTCACAATTATTGTTACTTCTTATTTTTAAAGAGAATCTCCAGATGAATTCTGGGGGATCATTTTTCTGCTCCTCATTAACATGTCTTATTTCAACATGAATGTTCCTTATGGTGCATAAGTTTAACCAATGCCTTGTTAAGGGTATAAATGAACCAAATGTGTAACAAAGAAAAAAAAACTCATGTAAAATGGTATAACGGTCAAAACCACCAACTTGTCTTGCAGTGATAAACTCAGAGTGGTTGTTGAGTCATGAGCAGGAACTTCTGATCTCCATCAACTCCCAGACCTGTTCAGTTCATTTCCACCGCGAAGTCTTCAGTAGGAACGCGGCTGAGAAGTGGAGGACTTCCCTTCTGGCTTCCCCTTCAAAGCCCTGCACTGACCTGCGTAGTGACTGATGTAGTTCTCTGATGGCATACCAGTCCTTCATATGTCCACGTTGTCCCCAGACCTGGAAACATGGATAGTAAATGTCAGAGAGGCTGTACCCTCTTGAAAACATGGAGCCTGTTTCCTTATCTGACAGGCTCAGCCTTGTCAAAAGGAAGTAGGAAGTGGGAAGGTGCCAGAGATGGGGCAGTCACAAGACCCGAAAGAGGTGACCAAGGAGTAAGGCGCATCACTCTCCGTTCTGATGTACGGTTATCCTCTAAATTTGACTCCCGTTAGCTAGAGAAAGACTTGTCCTTGAAGGAAGCGGGTAGGAAGCCAGGTGGTGAGTGTCTTCCCCTTGTAGGACCTCCGTCCATGAGTGTCCTCTCCGCTGTCGCATTCACATCACAGGGAGGCAGGCAGAGAGGTCCTGAGGGTCGTTGGGTGAAGTTCCCGACCTAGGAAAACAGAGAAGGCTTTTTATGTGGGGGAGAGTTGGGGTGGAGACAGGAAGAGGTGGTGGTTAAGATGGGAGACATGACTCTCTGAGCACCAGGGACCCCTAGGGCCAGAGAAAGGAAGGTTGGCTTGGCTGTAAATGAGAACACTGTTCCCTTTAGTTCAAGAATGAGCAGTGGGCTTGGGGCCTTGCTGCTCGGCACACTGGCCCCTGTACACAGAGGGCAGGGAAGGCCTGAAGGAAGAGGCAGGTGGCCCCAGATCAGTAGTGGCAGGTCTGATAAGCAAGGGGACTTGGGTAGCTACAAGACGAGTAGATCTCAGCACCCGCCCGCCAGAATCCTAAAAGTTTATAACGAGGCCTTAATGGGCTTCAGTCACATGCACCATCCAGACGGTCTTCACACCGCGTTACTCTTTCAAGGCTGTGTCCTTGGAGCAGGTCCCACTGTGGGAACAGGAAACAGACCGCGGAGTCCAAG